GCTGTCACCCCAAAGCCTACTGGGTCAGACCCACCTCTCTTACAGACTCAACTCTTTTAGACTCATAGCATACATACAGAGTGTGGCCAGATGGCCCTGCAATGAGTCACTTGGACACCTTTGGTAGGTAGGAATGTAGTCCTTTATACAGGGCTTCTGGTTTCAACCATGGACTAACGGTGATTTTTTTTTTAAATTAGGAATTTATTTATAGATATAAAGTGAAATATAAACACATGAAATTTCTGTCCTTTAACATTCAGATGACCAAAAGCAAGAAGAAAACATAAAACACAACACTATGAAATGCCCTAATTTATCCTTGAGTAAGATTCTAGGTTTTGTTTAGTGAATCCTCTATGTCAACATCAGGCTTTTTTTGCCTTAATAATAAGCAATGGGGTGTATTCATGTTATTCCTTGACAAGTTCTCCCAGGGTTGGTCTTTGTCACTGGTGGGCTTCAATTTGTCATGAGTTAAATCTTTAGAGTTGCAAACAAATTTTAAAAAAAAAAATTATAAAAGAAACAGTACTAACTTTTCTAAAAAGCCGCTCTGGTCTGCAGTGGAGGAGAGGTGACCTGAGCCAGTCTTCCAAATGACCCCAGCAAGTCACTCAGAACAAGTCCTCTCTTTGTTTCTTGTGTTCCCATAGGCACAGAGCAGCTAATATGTTTTCATCTGGGGCAAAGAGCACATAGATGTTGGAACACAAGGCCTCTCTTGTCCCACCACCCAGAGCCTGGCCATGTGACAGGCTTTAATGATGCACTAGCCATGTGACACTGTTTACCATGCACAGGCCTCTCCAGAGATGGTGTGTAGCAGGGATCTTCAGTTTTCTGAGAAATTAAGGGGCGGAGAAAAACTGCTTCCTTGTACTTGCCTGGAGGCCATTCCATTATAAGTCAGGAAATGGATCTCTAGAATTTAAACAAGCATGCTTTACCCCTTTCATATAAACAATAGTACACAACCCTATGCAAATACCCAGGGCTGATAACTCACACAAGGGAGGATTGCTAGGGAGGGAATCTGTTCAGACAGGACACTCAAATGGTCTCTAAACTCAAACCAGAACCTCAAGTATTGGCCCCTTGGTTGTTATTATAAGGCACAGCACTTAGTGGGAGTGCCCTCCGCAAAGTGAAACCTAAAACTTTCTTGTATATAAAACTTGTATATCCTGGATCCCAGCCCTGCACTCCTTCCATTATGTTGTAAAGGGCTTTTATTGGCTGAACAAATGTTAATGTCATTCTATGTTAATGGGCATTGCTACTAAAGGCACCAAGGTATTATTCCACTTGAACCTTCAGGGGTGAGATCAAGGATGACTAGCAGAACTACCTACTCCGAGCATATGTCAGCCATGAGGGCTTCAAGCCCTTACGGCCCATCTCTGCTAGGACTCGGTGATAATTTCACTCTTGGATGAGAGAATTCCACAATTATGCATAGATTTATTAGGTCCCAGGATTAAAAATTCTCTGAGCAAGAGTAAAAAAAAGTAATGATACTTTAGAATGTATGGTAATATTCAGATGATTTGAAAACAGTCACCTCAGCAAAAAATAAAAGCAGGGAGAAGCAGCCCAAGGTAAAGACACGGTTGGCAATGTGAGCCATAAACCGGTGCGAGTTTATTGCGTGGATGTATGGGCTGGCATTTTCACACATGGGAATCCCCTCGACAGCAGAACGGCCCAGCTTCCTTCCTTCAATCGCTGAGAACTGACCCGACACCCCATCCCTCTAAACTCCCTGCCCTATGCTCCACCCCACTTCCCTCTTCTGGTCACAGCTGGACCTTCCTTCCCTTCTTGGGCCTTAAGCGCTTGCTCTCTTGTTTCCAGTCTCTCTCCTGGAAAATGTGGTCTTATCTGTTGTGTTACTACCAGTTAGCTCGGTTGTCTACTGTGAGCTACCTCACCTACGTGCCCGTCTCTGTTCCTTGGATGCCCCAAGTCGACTCAACTCAGAATGTCTACAAATGGATTCCTATCTCCTCCCTCTCCCTTAAACAGGAGTAATCCTGAGTGCCACCATGGTTCTCAGAGTCTGCACCCCTATCCATCTCTCCTCTGCACTTTTCAAGGGTTTTCACCCTTTCTTCTTACTCTCCTTGCCTCTTCACCTCATCCTGCATGGCTGTCGGAATAGGGAACTGAAGTCAATGTGACCATATCACCCCCTTCACCGACCTGATGGCTACCACAGGGCCTGGGCACGCCTGGGAGGCCAGCCCCATCTGGCTCCTCCTATCTCCACCCTCCACTCTCATCATTTGTTCTACCTTGCCCTCACAGGCTTCCAACAGGCTCTCCCATTTCCTTTGCTTGGGCTTCTTCATTTCCCAGTCAATGTCCTATTTATCTCCTACCCACCAGTCACTTCCTCAGTGAGCCCAGCCTGAACCACAAGCAAGGTCATACAGCACATGGTAGGGTCATGTAAATCCCTGAGAATCGGTCTCTACTGGTGTTACGTACTTCCTAACTTGACTACTGCGGGTAGGCAGACAGTTCCGCAAGGGTAAGAGGCCATGGCTATTTAGTCCATCCCTGTTTTCCCAGATGACTTTCTACGCAGAAAGGACATGAGAATTCCAACCATCATCATTCTGAGACATTCTCAGGGCCCTCTGCTTCCTTTACAAGAGACCGTCACCCATTACACAGCATGGCTACACACAATTACTCCTGATGACCTTGGCCACATCCGGTTTCCCCCAGGGAGTCAGAGAGCAGAAAAGTTAGGAAGAAACTTGGGCTCTACAGAGGCTATCCATGGAAACTAGACAACAAGAAAACAATCGGCCACATCCATGACTCAGCCATCGCTTCACAATGGCTTCCTGGGGTTTCCTTTGGAGGAAAACTCACTCTTTCACTTGCTCATTGACTTTGTGTTGGGGCCACAGTCTAGGAGGGACAGATACATAGTAAGTATCTGAGGCTGTTAGTAAAACGGAACCCTGGGCTTACGTCTGGGGGAGACGGTACATTTCAAGAGAGAGGGAAAGATGACGGTGAAGAATAGCCAATCCAGTGAGGCAAGGGATAGCAAGAAAAAATCAGGCACCCCTGGAGACACAGCACATCTGCTGGTAGCTCCTCCATTACTGACTTACTAATGACACCTAAGAGGAATCGGGTTGGTGTACAAGACTCCACTGCAGGACTGATACCTCTACTACTTCATCTAGTACTAGATTTCCTAAAGGTTCTGAGAGGAGGAGAGCTCAAAGAGTTCACTGTCTTCTATCACAGTCCCCACATCCAGGCCCAGTTAGTACATGTGTGGAAACTTCAGCCTCCCATGGGGGCACCGACCCATCCACTATATGGCTCCAGTCTTTCTCTTTGCATCATGCCTGACAGGAGGAGGGCTGCAGAAGAGGCAGCACCCAGTAGGAGGCTCTGAGGCAGTGTGGTAGGAAGGTTAGGGATGGGGTAGACGGGGCCGTGAGGCTGTCATCTGCTGTCTTCATAGAGCGAAAGCTTTACTTGACTGGAGGAATCTGATTTACTTGTGTGAATTTCAATTTCCTTAAAGTATACCTTTTTGATGTATACATTATTCAAGTCTTTATTTCGACTTCAAACCCTGTCTACAGATAAGAACACAAAGCCCAGAGTTGAACACGATGTATGGGAGATACCTGGAATCCCAGCAACCAGGCAATGGAGGCAGAATTGTGGGGTCCAGCCAGCCTGGGAGACCCAGTCGGGAGAGCAAGGATGAAGGAGAAAGGTAAGGGGCGCCAAATGACAAATTTCTTCAGAATGGATACAAAACAGAGTGAAGAGGTGTGCCTCATTAAAGTAAAGGAGGGAGGTACACAAACGTGGGCACTGCAGCCAATCAAAGGGCCCTAGAAATGGAGCGTTTAGCTGCAACATGAAAGCATGATGAAAAGCTTATCAGCATCAAATACTATCCATGATTTAATCCGAAATGAAGCAGGTAACACAGATGTTCTTGAATCAAACATGAACTTGACATAATTAAAGGAGTGAACCTTTGTGCCTTGACCACAGCTTTCTTCAGAAGAAAAAAAAATCATTATGAATTCACTCTAGCTTTAATTATTCTGACCAATTTCTGTGTTTAAAAAGATTTGTGAAATAACATTTTGCAGGAAGAAAAATATCCTGTTTTTTTTTTAATCGATTTGTGAAGGTAAAAATTTTAAGTCAAGTAATTATATCATAATACTTTAATGTGTTGGCAATTCATGTAAAAACACGCAGGGTGTTCAAAAGGTAGGAACACGTGAATGCCCTCCTCTTTATAGCGAATGACCATACCACCTGGTGTGATTTATTTTGGTGTTCTGCCCAGTGCAATATCAGTTTCCTGAGAACTGTGAATTTTTAAGTCATTTCCCTGAAAAAATATGAGGGAAGAAAAACTATAGGTTGATGATGTCTTCCTGATTGTAAGTTGGAACACGCAAACACAGTGCAAGAGCCTAGCCTGTCCACTTGTGTGTGAAACTTATGTGTAAAGGGGAGGCAGTGGGAAGGACTGGAAAACAAGGCATCAAAGAAATTTAAAACTTGCAATACAGCATAGAAATAAACTTTAGACTCCAGCATCATCTCTACGTTGGGAGCTTCTGGTTCTAGTTAAGTTTAGAGGAAAAAAAAAATCACAAGGCAGCCACTGCCTGACTCAGAAAGTGTTATATTTGAGGATGCTGGGGTGACACATGGGAACACACAGATATGACTCCTGCTGTATTTTTCACCTAACATCTGTCTTGCTGGTCTTTAGCTGATCTCTTTAACGGTGTCACTTCAGTGTGCTGCAAAGCACAGGGGCTGTATAAGCTCCTAGATTGCTGTTTTATTCAGTGTCACTTTGGTGACCCAGATGACCATCCTCAGAACCAGGAGGGACCACTTTGATAATGTGGCCACAGGACTTCCTTCTTCTGGGAACTCTATACACATGACCAACACATTGATAAGATTTTAAAGAGCATCCTTACCCGAATTATTTCTTCCACACAGCTGTTGCTTTCTCCAGATCTACTCTCCTGAAAGCAGAGGAAAGATAAATCAGGCTTGATTGAATCGAATTATGGTTACAGAGAGGGGGACAACCAAACTTCCAAATAATTTAGGGGATAAAGCAATGTTGACCTAAGGGGACATTTAAGGCAGGGAACGCTGATGGGGCTATTCCCTGATGGCCAGCTCTCATTGGTCAGTTTTTACTGTGGCTGTTTCCCATTTCCTAGCTTGCAGAGCCACATATGCATGCCCTCGACTTAGCTCAGAGCTCTCCCACTATGTTAATTGAAGCGGGGAAAATTCCCAGAAACACTGAAAACGTCCCAGAGTTCTGAGAGCCATCCATCCACCTTGGGCTCCATCCAAGTGTGGAAACTGGTGATTTTACCACAACATAGATCCAGTCTACCTATGAAATATGTGCCATGGAACGAATGAGTATGGTGATTACCACAGCTTCAATAAATGTCTAGCTCATACTCCTCAAATTCTACATGGAGCAGCAGGATGAGTCTAAAACAAAATACAGAGGAAGAAGAGCTATGGCATTGCCAAGTGGCTCTACCAGAACCTACCAGAACCACTTGCTCTGCAGTCACCCATGCTGCCTTGCAAGGTAGGCAGTGCTAAGGCATGGTGGCCTCAGGTCACAGGGGACTGGAGAGCATGTTAAGGTCCACAGACACTGTTTAGTTACTGCTGGTTACACTGCCAAGAGCAGAACAGAGGATATGGTTTCATGGGAACACAAAAGCAGTGAGCGTCTACCATTGGGTGTGCTGCCTGTCTTCCCCGGGAAGTCATTTTGCGGGCCCTGTAATTCAAGGGTGGCACAGCACAGGGCACTGTACTAGAATGAGACTTTTATTTTTTGATCTGTTAATGAAACCCACTGCTCTTTCTTTACAGCTCTTTCCTCCAGAAATGCCATCTGTGGTTCTCTAGCTAATTCCAAGGCATCCTTGGGGTCCTAGCTCATGCAAAGTCTTCTCAAAGTGGCTATACTTGAACCCGGTGTTCTCAGTAGCATGGCCTTCCTCATCCTAGCCTCCCCATAACTCCAATTCAATACCCCAAACTATCCCTTCACTTATCATACACTCTATATAAAATGTGTCAACTGAACTGAACAGTGTTCTCCACACTGAATGTAATATGTGTGCAGTATGTGTGTCAGCTGATGGCAAGCAAAGTAATGAACATGTTTCTTTCTGCAGTTATTTCATCTTGCCTTGTTGTTTCAGACAGGGTCTAATTACACAGCCTAGATTACTTTGAAACCTACCATTCCCCATCTCAACCTCTCAAGTTCTGGGATTGTATATATTACCACACTAGGTTACACAAAGCTGGTCAGAATCCATCCTTATGTTCAGAAGGTTGACAGTGGCTTTGCAGAGATGGATGTCTCCACTCCTTGCCCTGGTCAGTATGAAGAAAGGTACTAGATTTGAAAAAGTCTTACATGTTTCTGGCACAGGACTGGTGATTTGTGTGACCCCTGCCAACTGAGGTCCAAGAAGTCCACATGACATTGAAAAAAGCCATGTAACACAAGAACAGTGACTGGATTGGATTATGGGATGCCTGATGCCCAGCAATAGAAATTTTCCTGTCCATGGATATTCCCAAACAATAAACACTGTCCTTGAAATATGTCATTTCTCATAGCAGGCATGGCCTAATGTGTTTGCAAAGGGGAATCCTGGAACAATTGTCCCAAAGGCTACATAGAAAAGTCTCAGTCACGCCAGGGTTTCATTCCCGTGGAATGGCCCCTCTGCCATTTAAGTGGGAAGAATTAGTGGTCTCAGTTGGAAAATTTATCTCCAAACCCACAACCATTTCTCTCACGTTCAAGTCCCCAGCCATTTGTAGGAGACAGCATGCTGACTAAGCAAATGCTATCCACTTAATATATTTCCTATTTTCTACCTCTGAAACAATTAGGAGGAAAAAAAAATGTGACCTTACCTTACCTGGGTACAACAACCTACTGAAAATTACTTCAAATTCAACTTTAGGTTTAAACCCTGAAATAAGCCTCCTCTGGGGTGGGGTGTGGGGCAGAGTCAGGGTCAGAGTCAGAAGAGAAGGAAATCTGCTGGTTTTATTTCCTATATATCTTAGAAAGGCTACTACATCCATTCAGTCTCATCAACATGGCCGCTTTAACAAGACCCGAGCAAGGACAACAGGGACTGATATTCAGACACAGAAGAGGGGGGAATTCACATGGGGTCTCAGCCCTACAGAGAAAACCACAGGCAGCTAAGGGACACAGAGCAGAGAAACAGGAGTTCTCCAAGGAAGAGCACACTGATTAGTTACCCAACATCAAATAGTCATCCTTGAAAACATAAATACAAGTTTCACTAGGATTGAGCAGGCTGCATTTATATACTTAGGAGAGAGTGTGTGTGTGTGTGTGTAAGTAACAATAAAGAATTAGAGGTCATGAATTTGAGAGAGAGGTCAAGGAAAAGGTTGGTGGTAGAAGGGTAGAAGAGGGGGGAATGATACAATTATATTTAATTTTAAAAAGATCCAAAAGCTGTGGTTCCTTTGAAAATAAAACACTAATTTCCCTTGATGTGCTATACAAGAGGGACAGGCTGATCTTAAAATGGTCTTTCCTACTATCCTTTAAGTTCCTGATGCTTTACTGTAGTAAAGATACGGGAAGAGAATGTGTAGCAGATGCACTGTGAAACATTTTGGTCCCCATTGCTGATGCAGTACATAAGATTATGACACTGGGTCACCTTGATGGCTATGCAGACCTGATGGGCAGGCCAGACAGACAGCGACCATCAAAAGAGAGCATCGCATTGAGGCCAAGACACTGACTTCTAGTAGCCATCCCAGGAAGTGTCATCCTTGCATCAGAGCCTGAGCAAGTCAGGCAGAGGAAGCCCCTGAGTCTTCTCTACAATTCTCCTGAGGACTCAAGAAGGGGACCATATTGGTTTGAACCTCCAGGCCTCCAGTTGCTCTGGGGTGGGTCCATGGCACAGCACTGAAGGAAGTCTGATTCAGGAGACACCTAGGAGCTCTTTCAGCAAAATTCAATGACTTTAACAGACAGGGAAACTTGGCTTAAAGAAATAAAGGGCTCTATCCAAAATCACCGTGGCAGCAATGATAGCCAAGGCAGGGCCACACACGTTTCTATCAGCCCGCCAGTGACTTTTCTAGTTCAGGCAAACTCCCCGTGCTCAGTCTTGGAGGCTGCCTCTTGTTGACGTGGCATTCATGTTCACAGTGGGGAGATCAAAGGATCCTGGGAACATTTAGGTGTGCTTCTTCATCTGTTGATGTTACACATTATTCAACACTTAGCCATGGCCTCTCAGTCAACTAACCTTTACATCATACATAGAGAAGTGGGGAGGGAAAGGGGAGGAGAAAGATTGAAGTCATTCTCCTTTCTAACCAATGAATTGGACAGGAAGGGTATATATGTCCTCAGAAATGGATGAATAGAAACCCACCCGGTCTTTTTCCCAAATGTACAGAAGGGGATATAGATCAGTGAGTGGAGGAGGGGGGAAAGGACCCAGAGGAGACTTCTGGTTTCGGGGATCTCCCTCAGTTCTGATTTCTGCTACAGTTATGTGCTTTGATCATATTTATACTTTGATAACTTTCTCTGTTTATGGGCAAGGCTGAAACATTCATGCAATTTATGTCTCCAAATTTGTGTTTATATATTTTTTTCACAATAAAATCGCTGCTTCCCTTGGAAAGGTACCCACTGAGAAGGAGGCTGCACCATGTAAATTTTAATTACTCTATTTTTTTGAGGTCTTGTGGCTGTTGATTCATGCTGAGCTGCTGAGATGTTGCTCAGTTGTTTACTGTGACTTTGATGAACACCCCCCTCAGTTTTCTATCATTGCGTTTTGAAATCTGTCATAACAGTCTCACCTCATTGAAACTCCAACTAAACTTCAATTAAAAGCTAGCATCCCTGGCTGATTCTCCTTCCACAGCCTTGGTGGTTCCATGATTTCCCCAAATCCTAGCACTCTCACACACTGCAGAGCCTGCCAGGGAAATGTGGGGATTGAAGTTCTGGGAAAGAAGAGTTACAGAAGCAGCCAGGAGCACAGCATCATGCCCCTAATTACCATGCTGAACACGGCTCACTGGAAGAAGCAAGGCTTAGGGAGAAAAGGCTCCATCAAATCAGAGGGAAATGGCATTTCATAGCAGAAGGGATGAGCCGCACACAGGACTCAGAGTGGAAACAGTTTAACTCTTCATCAGACACACTGTAGCAAAACTTACATTCAAACAGTGCTGAGGTCAAAACACCATTATCAGCAAATCCTCAAAAATCTTTAAACATTTAGAAATTATGTATCCCACACATACACTTAAATATTTCTATAGGGCTACCTTTAAACACATCATACTATTTTTCATTTATAGAAAACCTGAGACAAAGAAATGAAGTATTGTATCAATGCCATGAAAATAGTGCCTGGAAATCTAAACTAACATCATGAACTGCCATAACTCTGTGTGTGGGGGTGGGGGTGGGGGGTGAGGGGTGGGAGATGGGGGGTTTTCTCTACCATTAAGTTCCAGGCCTTACCCTTGAGCACAGGGTGACTTGTGAGCCATGAAGCAGGCAGCCTGTCCTCTCAAATTCTGCTTCTCCACATCTATCCTGACAAGCCATCCCTGAAGGACTGCACTCTGCTTCCCCTATCTGAAATTGGAGCCCCTGTCTCATCTCAGCTACTCAGCCCCCGACCTTCCCTGCTCTGCTCACCCATGGACCTTATGCTCGGTTACTTCCACCCAGCTCTACCTCTGGACTCCTAGTGTCACTACCATCTCTGAGACATTCAGTATGCACACAAAAGCATTTACAATGCCAGCCAGTGCACATGAGGTGCAAGTGAAACACACACAAACTTCATGTTTAGACTTGGGAGCCATCCCCAAAATCTCTTGCTGGGTATTTGTAAACCTTACAAATTTTAACACATCTGGACAATGGAACTCTTTT